TATGTGTGTGTGTGTATGTATGTATGTATATGTACGAATGTGTATGTATGTATGTATGTGTATGTATGTATGTGTATGTATGTATATGCATATGTATATATATATGTATACATATATATATATATATATATATATATATATATATATATATATATATATATATATATATATATATATATATATATATATATATATGCATATGTATATATATATGTATATATATATATATATATATATATATATATATATATATATATATATATATATATATATATATATATATATATATAAACATAAATGAAACTAATACTAATAGTGTTTATTCATCCAACTGCATATAAAATAAAAATTACTATTCCTTCTACAAACTATAACTGAGGAAATTCAAATATATATTCAAAGGTAATAAACTCTCATTTACTTTAACTTGCTAGGAAAAGTTAATACAGGTCTAATCTAGTGAGCTGCATCTAATCACTGCTTCTCCCCTTAACCCATTGCCGCCGAGGAAAATGAACAAAAAATGGGGGAAATGAAGTACTCATTTTTTATATTTTTCTGAAATATCTAGTCCTGATTTCACCTTCCCTTGAATTGGCAGGAAAAAACATATCTTTATTAGTGCTATAAATATAGATGGTGTTATTTTTAATAGCAAATTAGGATAACGTTAAATATTTTCGTAAAGCGATGAAAAGGGTGAACGGGCGAGACAGGCAGTACTCGTAATTGGCTCATTGGTGACTTAGTACAAGTGTAGCCATCTATGTGTAAAAACAATCGAACAAGTCAACTCTCAGTGGGCATGGCATGTATGTACATGCCATCCCCGGCGGCAATGGGTTAAACAAGTTCTGTTACACACACACACAAAGGGGCACGTAAACACACCATTGACTTTTGGGAGCTGACGGCAAATGAGGACGTCTGGGCAGGAGCTCCACTAGGCCTCACCCAGGTGTACGGGGAATTCTGGAAAGGCCAAAGGTTTAGGCTCTTGGTCTTTCGAATATGGTTCTAGATCTCAATGTCTAGACGGAGTACAGACCAAAATGAGTTCATGATAAAACAGAAAATTAAGCTCAAAAAGAAATGACTTCTCAATATATGTGCCTCCAAGAAAAACAAATACTGGATTACAGCTTCTTGGTTCTTTTTTATTCCTCTCCACATTCTAAAGGATACTATTTCCAGGCTAATTCTGTGACCAAATTGACAGCATGCAAAGAGCAGGATTGAGACCAAATAAGCACCTCCTTATTGTTAAAGTATCCGCGTCCTTGGCCACGCCCCCTTCCCCTGGCATGTCTCTGTCCACGTCCTCGCCCGTGGAAGTGTGGCCTCTCCCCCTCTGCTCTGTCATCTCCTCCGCCATGCTCGTTTTGGGGAGGACTCCTCTTGCCCTGGCCCATCCGCCCAGAGCCCACCCGCACAAATTTGCCTGGAGGGAAATGGGTGGACAACATGAGTGATTTTGCAGAGAATGCAGAATGATCACAGTTCTGAGTATTGACATTTGGATTACTTGATAGGTTTGAGATACAGCAACAAATTCTTTATGAGAATTCTAACATCAGTTAGCTCATCTGCTCTCCTGCTGATTTCCTTATTTGTGAATAATATAATTACTGTTATTAAATTAGAAAGTCTAGGTCATCATTGCCTTTCATTTTGAAATTCAGAGTTACTTACAAAATAATTTTGTACAGCTTTGTTATTTTCATAAATAAATTCTAGGACACCCAGATAACAGATCTCAAAAGACCTTTGAGCCCAAATGCACAAGAGAAAAAGCAAAAAAAAAAAACTAATGAACTACTTGCTAAAACCAAAAATCCAGACATTACCAAGTACTTCTGGTTCTTTCTCACCAGCAGAGCTGTGAGTGGTGTTGGAGACAGAGATGGTGAAGGAGTCCCCATGGCCCTCAATCCTCCTGCGACCAAAGACCGCATCGGGGTCAAGCTCGGCCATGATTTCCTCCTCATGCTTCTGTGCTGGGGGTTTAAAGGGTGAAATTAATAACGGGGCCTCCTAATTGAAAATGGTAGTATAGACTGTAGCCCACAATAATAATGCTTTTTCATTCCATTAGATGCTTGCTAAACCAAACCTCTGACCTAAAAATCCACAGATACAGAGAGAGAGAGAGAGAAGAGAAAAAAGGAGGAAGAGAAGGATGAAGAGGGAGGAGGAGAAGGAGTAACCTAAAGAGCAACAGAAGAAACAGGAGGAGGAGGAGGAGAAACAAAAGGAGGAGGAGGAGGAGGAGGAGGAGGAGGAGGAGGAGGAGGAGGAGAAACAGGAGGATGAGAAACAGGAGGAGGAGGAGGAGGAGGAGGAGGAGGAGGAGGAGGAGGAGGAGGAGGAGGAGGAGAAAGAGGAGAAGGAGGTGGAGGAGGAAGAAGAGGAGGAGGAAGAAAGAGAGAAGAAAAAGAGGAGGATGAAAAAGGGAAAAGAAGAGCAAGAAGAAAACAGATAAGGAAAAGAAAGAAAGGAGAAGGAAGAGAAGGAAAAGAAGAGGAAGAGGAGGAAGGACATTTCATAATTAAAGAATAAGTAAGAACAGGAAGAGGAGGATAAAGCTTACCATTCAACTCAGGGTCAATGAAGCGACCCTGACCCCTGTACTTCCCCCTGGACCCTCGGCCTCTCGCTGGCCTGTGCTCCCCCGGCCCCTCCTGTGCTCCGGGGCCCTTGTCTTCGCCCTCACCTGGCGTCATGTAGTCTGCCAACTTAAAGCCTTCCCCTGCATCACAACAAGGTCAATTACAGGCCAATAATTCAAAGCTGTCATCAGTATAAAAAGAACACAGAAGGCTAATCATTGCCACTGTGTATTATAAATCTAATAACAGGAATCATCCATAAGGACTTTGCTAATTAATGAACAAGTATAAACTCCTGACAGTTGTCACGTAATTTTACCTGTTATAAATAAACCAAAGGAATGTATTTCCACTAGGCATGCATTTTCACCTAGAGACATGTCTCAGAAATGAATTACAAAATTTAAGAAAAAAAATTAATATATGTTTATTATTAAATAACCTTACCTTTACTTCTGGGATATCTAGGATCATAAAATGGCTCGCTATCTTCAATATTTCTGAAATAAAAGAGGAAAAAACAAGCTCAAAAACTTGAAGAGTTGTACATCCCTTTCAAACATTTTAATCCATGATTATCCTTTTCAGGAAATTCCTCACCTTGATTGATCAAACAGAAATGATTACAGTGAAAGCAAATTGACTACATCTGTTCAGAGATCAGCATGAAAGGTCAGTATCCACATAACATATGTCATAACAATCATTATAATAATGACAATAATAACTGTAAAGATAATGACAATGATGATAGGTAGTAATACTACTAGTGGTGAAATTATAAAATGATAATGATAAAAAGTAATATTAAGTATACAAATCTAATTCTGATCACATTAACACTACTAACAGTAATGCTAAAGGTAAAGGTTATATCATCAAGCCTGACAATGACTGCACTAAAAATAAAAGTAATAATATCATCAATATTCTTATATATTTTTACTATTAGCCTTTACCAATTATCAAATCACATTCAAAGTGACCATTTTCATTATTGTTATCAACTTTATTATCATTCTTATTATTGATATTATTGTTATTAGTATCATCATCATCATTATCAGTACTAACCATCATCATTATTACTTACTGATTATCTTAGGTATCATCTGTCATAATGCCATTATCATTATTATTACCACAATCAGTATCAGTGTTATAGTCCTTTTCAGTATCCATAATATAATCATATTATTGTAAGTATGTAAGTAGGATTATTATCATTATCATCATGTTCATTATTACATGGTTAATAGCACTGTTATTGTTTCTTCATTTTTATCATGATTATTATTATTTCAGTTATTGCAGTTTAATGACTGTCATTATCATGTTCATTGTTAGCATGATCAGCATTATTATTATTATCGTTATCACTAATAATATGATTATCACTCTCATTGTTATCATTAACATGAGTGCTGCCATTAATGCAATGATTATTATAATTATTATTATTAACATTGTCATTACCAATGTTATCATGATTACACTGTCAGTATTATCAACAGTAGCAGTATATCCCACAGTCCATAGAAATAATCAATCAATCCAAGACGAATCAAATGAAGATGCAAGTGTTATATATGGAAGAGAATTCTTCCCTGCTTTTAATGTTTCAATGCCAATGTTGACTTTAATTTCTCCACAATTAAGGAAGCCAGATCTTCCCATGATGTAATTGGGAAAATTCCACAAAGATCAACTTCTGGACATTAATAAATGAGTCAGACTTTAAACCTTTATTTTCATTATCAATTTACACAGTTAAGCAGATACATTTATGCAATCTTCCATCTGGCTATTTTCTCAGCAGAGAAATAACAAACGTGTGCTGGGCAATTGTCCTCACACAATTATCACACACTGACAGTATGTTCTTTATAAATCTGGCAAGCATTAATACATTACTAAGGCAATAGCAGCTGAAAAGAAGGAATGGAATCAAACTGCAATCAGAAGAAATCATCACTAAGTTGGTGACTCAGAAGACCAAGAGCTCGAACAATAACAAGGACAGAATTCAATGGCATTATGCAAACTCTTTATGTCAAGCAGCATCAAATACAGATTCATAGGAGGATTCATTCAGATAGGAGATATTTCCTCTGGATTCTTTTGGGAGATCTGCCTTTTTATTTCTTACATGAAATAACAATCACAGGAACAAAAGAGAAGAAAAAAATAAAGAGGAAAGGAAACAATATATACAAGATGTCCATCACTGAATAAACACTTATACAATATGGATTTTCCGAACCAAACTCACTGCAATATCCCCAAGTGTACATTCATTTACACAAAAGAGGAAACTTTTTTTTCTTGCAGATATGCAGCTAGAGGAAAGAAGAAAGAAAAAATGTTCTGCAATCACCTCCCTGGATGTAG